TCAAGCTTTATTTTTTCAAATTTCTCTTTTTAAGACATTTCAAATGAATTATTTTCTTCTTAAATTGTGTTTCACGGATCACATTCTCTTCTCTTCAAGTCTAATCCAATAAAAATGCTGTTTCATAACATCCAGCAGACCAATAGAAATGCTTCTTCTCTCCTGACGCCAGAGGAGGGCCCGCCCTCAGAAGGGAAGACAATGTGATCTGTAAAGGGCATTTGAAAAGCATGCAAATAATAACGACAGAGCGTTAGTGCCAGGCTAGAATTTTTTTTTCTTCTATTTCAAGAATAAAGTCGCAACGGGAATGAAGTTTAATTTAATTTAAATTACGTTTTATTCTCATAATGTTACAACTTTATTCTCGTAATGTTATGACTTTATTCTCCTAATTTACGATTTTATTATCGTAATTTATGACTTTATTATCGTAATGTTACGACTTTATTCTCATAATGTTACAGCTTTATTCTCCTAATTTACAATTTTATTATCGTAATTTACGACTTTGTTATCGTAATGTTACGATTTTATTCTCGTAATGTTACGACTTTATTATCGTAATGTTACGACTTTATTCTCATAATGTTACGGCTTTATTCTCATATTGTTACGACTTTATTCTCATGATGTTACAGCTTTATTCTCCTAATTTACAATTTTATTATCGTAATTTACGACCTTGTTATCGTAATGTTACGATTTTATTCTCGTAATGTTACGACTTTATTATCGTAATGTTACGACTTTATTCTCATAATGTTACGGCTTTATTCTCATATTGTTACGACTTTATTCTCATAATGTTACGACTTGATTCTCGTAATGTTACGACTTGATTCTCGCAATGTTACGACTTGATTCTCGCAATGTTATGACTTTATTCTCCTAATTTACGATTTTATTATCGTAATGTTATGACTTTATCTCATATTGTTACGACTTTATTCTCGTAACGTTACGACTTTATTCTCCTAATTTACAATTTTATTATCGTAATTTACGACTTTATTCTCGTAATGTTACGACTTTATTCTCGTAATGTTACGACTTGATTCTCTCAATGTTACGACTTGATTCTCGCAATGTTACGACTTTATTCTCATAATGTTACGCCTTTATTCTCATATTGTTACGACTTTATTCTCGTAACATTACGACTTTATTCTCCTAATTTACAATTTTATTATCGTAATTTACGACTTTATTCTCGTAATGTTACGACTTTATTCTCGTAATGTTACGACTTGATTCTCGCAATGTTACGACTTGATTCTCGCAATGTTACGACTTTATTCTCATAATGTTACGCCTTTATTCTCATATTGTTACGACTTTATTCTCGTAACATTACGACTTTATTCTCCTAATTTACAATTTTATTATCGTAATTTACGACTTTATTCTCGTAATGTTACGACTTTATTCTCGTAATGTTACGACTTGATTCTCGCAATGTTACGACTTGATTCTCGCAATGTTACGACTTTATTCTCACAATGTTACGACTTTATTCTAGTAACGTTACGACTTTATTCTCCTAATTTACGATTTTATTATCGTAATTTACGACTTTATTATCGTAATGTTACGACTTATTCATGTAATATTATGACTTTATTCTCGTAATATTACGACTTTATTCTCAAAATAGAAGAAAAAAAAAATCTCTATCCTGGCCCTAGTACTCCGTCATAATTAATAAACCTCAACCTGAAGAGGAGAAATTTTAAAGAATAAATTTTTTAAATATGAAATCTGTATAACAAAATAAAAATGATATGAAGAAAAAGCCCCAAATCAGAAAAACACTAAAGAAATAAAATCGGACAAAACAGTAAATTTACTCTCAAAACCTTTGCATTTTTTTGATGATGATTTTTTCAAAGTTTAAATTCTGGATACTTACTTTTTTTTTTTTATTTTAACAAAGCGTGTTCTTTCTGTTCAATAATAATGGAACAAAATTGACTCCATACTGATTCAACCATTCTGATGTCCTCTCCTCCGCCCCCTAGTGGGTGTTCTGGGCAGTGCAGCTCCGGATGAAGCCACCCATTCGCATCTCACCAATGCTCTGCCTGGGGAAGACGACGCCTCTTCAGTTTCCCTCTTTAGCCGAAGTTTCCTGATGGAAGCAAAGAGGTCGTTTTAATTCATCTCAAGATTAAAGTTAAACTGATTAATTTTGTAAATAGAATTTTTTAATTTTTGGAAAATCTATGTTTATTTTCAGGTCTGAAAAAAAATCTCCAGATTTAAGGAAAAGGTTCTGGTTGAGAAAAAAATTCAAGCTTAACATGTTGTCTTTTAATCGGCAGTCTATTTTTAATTTTGACACTAATATGAGTAAAATTAACTCTGAAAATGTGACACCAGCTATAGAGTAAATTTTACGCTCCTTTGCAGCGGGACCAAATGTTATCTGAAAAGCAGTTATTTTCAACTCTGTAGGACATTTTACTGTGAAGGAACTCGACCGAAGCGTTTGATGAAGATTCCGGTATAAACCGGTTTATCCATCATCATCAGCTTTATGGGAAACCTCCATCTTTATTCCCAGAGCAGCTTTATGCTCAGAACACCTGAAATGTCCTGTTCTTGGGGTTCAGTTTCCAGTTTTGGTAACAGATGTTTGTAAAGGATCCAGAACCTGAACTCCAGTTGCTCCAATCAGAAGTAAAGAGACCAGTAGATTAAAACTTCTAGAAGAAAAGGTTCCTTTGCTTCTCTGCCTGTTTCAGGCTCCACCTGAAATCATTTTACTCTGAAATCAGCAGTTTGACCTAAAAAATGTTACAGATTTTAGGTTGAAAACACGACTATCTGCATTCAGACATTTACATCAACTATTTCATCCTCAGATAAACTAGAATAATTCAATTTAAAGAAAGTTTTGAGCTTTTCACCTTCCCTGTAATCTCACTTTTGGTCATAAAGTGAATCTTTTGAGCCAAGACAACCTGAATCCGATCAGAAAGTTCACATTTAGGATAAATAAGCTGGTTTGAGAGGAAGTGAAGGAAACCATCTATGTTAGGAAAGAAAAACCAACTTTAACCCTTTATAGGGCACTCAGTGAAATCATTTAAAAATCCAAATTTCAAGCCAATATTGTTACTGGAATCCAGGAAAAGATCTTATTACCTTCGTAACACTCAAAAAATATGGACATTTTGATGAAAAGAAAATCAATGTCAATGTAATAACAAGAAACGCCAACTTCCCCAAATATATTAAGAAAAATAACAAAATTGCTTCTAGAAGAAATTCATGAAAAACTCTCTGAGAGTGAAAGAAAAACATTTTATTGGTCCAACAGAACCTTAGAGCCTTTAATGATGATACTGGAACTGACATTTTTTAGTTTATAAACCTAAATATAATTATTAACTAGGTTTATTAACTTTTTAACTTTACTTTTCAACTTTTCTTTTTGATTTTTGCCTTTTTTTTCTTGACTTTTTAATTTTTTAATTAACTTTTTACTTTATTTTCTAACTTTTTCATTTAGCTTTTTACCTTCTTTCTTTACTTTTTAACTTTTTAATCAACTTTGTATCTTTTTTAACTTTACTTTTTAACTTTTCATTTAGCTTTTTACTTTTTTTTACTTTTTTTTTAGGTTTTTACCTTTTTTTCTTTACTTTTTAACTTTTTAATTAGGTTTTTGTCTCTTTCTTTACTTTTATAACTTTTTAATTAACTTTGTATCTTTTTTAACTTTACTTTTTAACTTTTCATTTAGCTTTTTACCTTTTTTTTCTAATTTTTAATTAGCTTTTTACCTTTTCTTCTTTACTTTTTAACTTTTTAATTAGCTTTTTATCTTTTTTAACTTTACTTTTTAACTTTTCATTTAGCTTTTTACTTTTTTTTACTTTTTTTTAGGTTTTTACCTTTTTTTCTTTACTTTTTAACTTTTTAATTAGGTTTTTGTCTCTTTCTTTACTTTTATAACTTTTTAATTAACTTTGTATCTTTTTTAACTTTACTTTTTAACTTTTCATTTAGCTTTTTACCTTTTTTTTCTAATTTTTAATTAGCTTTTTACCTTTTCTTCTTTACTTTTTAACTTTTTAATTAGCTTTTTATCTTTTTTAACTTTACTTTTTAACTTTTCATGTAGCTTTTTACTTTCTTTACTTTATAACTTTTTATTAACTTTTTATATTTTTTTCTTGACTTTCTAACTTTTTATTTCCAACTTGATTCCCAGTAGGTAATAAATCATTCAAGGGCTCATCTGATTGGTCAAATGCCAAAATAAGACGTAGAGCCATGTAGCAGCATCTCTGCTGAATGGCTGGATATAGATCTTGTGCTTCTAGACCTCACTGAAGGACGGGGTGACTCCATTTGTAGGGGGATCAAAAAAGGCTAACGTGGGGTTAAACAGGGGGAACAGAAGACCTTTCCTATTCATCCAGGCCAACAATTCCCTTTAACGACCCCCCTTTCAGAGACATAGACAGGTATGGGGCATTGCAGGCTAACTAAGAAGCCAAATGACCCCCATTCCAAAGGGGGGGACCCGTTCATCCGTTTCTATTTGCATGTTTTCTAAAGGATTTGTTGGGCTGCATTAAAAGAGCCTGGAACTATTTCTGACATTTTGAATTGAAAAAGCTTCCTGGATGGAAGAGAAACATCTTCAACCTTTAAATAAAGTCCAGTGGATTGTTTTCTAAATTTTTTTGGGGAAAAAATCGTTTAAAAGAAACTGCTTCCTTCCTGATGGGATCCTGAACTCTCCCAGTAATCCCGCCTGTTACCTGGGATGTTTCTCCGAAGCGGAACATCCCTCTGGGTTTAATGTCGTGTCTGTCGTCTCGGTCTGAGTTCTGTTCTGTCTGTTCGTCACGTGTCCTTCTGCTCCTCCAACAGTGAACTGATCTGACTTCATCCTGGAAGTGTTGACTGTTGGCTTCGTCATCAGAATACCTGCGGATCCTGCAGCCGGATGAATAACCTTCTGTGACGTTTTGTCTCCACAGTGGACGCTCCGTCTGATTTAAGGTTTAAGATTTTAAGTGAAAGTACGGTTCAAATGATGTGGAGGCGGCCGCAGAGCAGGATACAGGGCTACAGGATAGAAGTGACCTCAGATACAGGTGGGTTCTGCTTCTGATTGGCCGGAACTGCTGATGTCATAACATAAGTCATTTTGTCCTGCATTTTTTTTTCTTGAATTGAGGAGGTAAGTGTGAAACTTTGCCAATAGAACAACACAATTTACAATTTACATTTAAAATAAGAAAAAACAATTGCTTTGTCTTATTTCAAGTGCATATTATCTAATTATCTTATTTTCTGCTGAAATTAGGAGTAAAAACACTTTTTTCTAAGTCGTTTTTGCAGTTTGTAGATTCTCTCCTCAAGTGTGGTTTTTTTCTGTGCACTTATTCCAACTTTTGTCAATTGAGGGCGGAGCCATTAACATTACATACGTAGACGCCTCATTGGAAGCTGGTCGACGTGCCTAGAGGGCGGCCATCTTGGATCAGACCCCAGTTCAGACAGCTCGAACAGGAGGCGCCTTAGATCTCATTTTAGTTACATGAAAGAGTCAGAGATAATATTACAATAATCTCTTCCATGTCACAACCACTTAAAAGACTAAAACTAATTTTAAAATTACCTTTCAGTTAGATTTATTCAGATTAAAAACTAATTAAACTAAACTCAAACTGGATCAGATATATGTCAATATTTTTCAATTAAATATTAATATAATAAACACAGACATATTTTATATCATTATATTATAAGATTATGTTTTGCAAAAATACACATTTATATAGTATATTATTATTATTATTATTATTATTTAGCATTAGCTAATTACTGTGTAGCAAGAAAATGTAGCTCATCTGCTAAACCTTTAGCATTCACTAATTACCATGTAGCAAGAAAATGTAGCTAATCTGCTAAACCTTTAGCATTAGCTAATTACCGTGTAGCAAGAAAATGTAGCTAATCTGCTAAACCTTTAGCATTCTCTAATTACCTGTAGCAAGAAAAAGTAGCTCATTTGCTAAACCTTTGGCATTAGCTAATTACCGTGTAGCAAGAAAATGTAGCTAATCTGCTAAACCTTTAGCATTCTCTAATTACCTTGTAGCAAGAAAAAGTAGCTCATTTGCTAAACCTTTTGCATTAGCTAATTACCGTGTAGCAAGAAAATGTAGCTAATCTGCTAAACCTTTAGCATTCTCTAATTACCTTGTAGCAAGAAAAAGTAGCTCATTTGCTAAACCTTTGGCATTAGCTAATTACTGTGTAGCAAGAAAATGTAGCTAATCTGCTAAACCTTTAGCATTCTCTAATTACCTTGTAGCAAGAAAAAGTAGCTAATTTGCAAAACCTTTGGCATTAGCTAATTACCGTGTAGCAAGAAAATGTAGCTAATCTGCTAAACCTTTAGCATTCTCTAATTACCTTGTAGCAAGAAAAAGTAGCTCATTTGCTAAACCTTTTGCATTAGCTAATTACCGTGTAGCAAGAAAATGTAGCTAATTTGCTAAACCTTTAGCATTCTCTAATTACCTTTTAGGAAGAAAAAGTAGCTCATTTGCTAAACCTTTGGCATTAGCTAATTACGTGTAGCAAGAAAATGTAGCTAATCTGCTAAACCTTTAGCATTCTCTAATTACCTTGTTGCAAGAAAAAGTAGCTCATTTGCTAAACCTTTGGCATTAGCTAATTACCGTGTAGCAAGAAAATGTAGCTAATCTGCTAAACCTTTAGCATTCTCTAATTACCGTGTAGCAAGAAAATGTAGCTAATCTGCTAAACCTTTAGCATTCTCTAATTGCCGTGTAGCAAGAAAATGTAGCTCATTTGCTAAACCTTTGGCATTAGCTAATTACCGTGTAGCAAGAAAATGTAGCTAATCTGCTAAACCTTTAGCATTCTCTAATTACCTTGTAGCAAGAAAAAGTAGCTCATTTGCTAAACCTTTAGCATTAGCTAATTACCTTGTAGCAAGAAAATGTAGCTCATCCGCTAAACTTTTAGCATTAGTTATCTTGTAGCACTTGCAGATATGGCTTCATAATGCAAACAAAATTTGTTGTGATTTACAAGAGAGTGAAGTTATTATTTCGTTTTTTTTAAAACAAATTTCATGTTAATTTTATTTATTCTTTGTCATTTTCAAGACTTTTTTTTCAAAATCATAGTGAACGGTGAATTTATGGATGCATTAATAATGATTAAAAAAACAGTTTGAAAAATAGTTTTGGAAGAATTTTATAGAAAGGACAAAAAGCCTTTAGTTAGACACAACATAAATTATATATAACCATGAGAACCAATGAAATGTTGGGCGGTGCTAAGATGCTCCACCAATAAGGCCTTTATGATGGAAGGATGGCAGACTGATGGAATTTGACCAGAAAAACTGATCTTCTACTCTTTCATCTGGAGAAAACTAGCTAACATCATCCATGCTGTGAAGCATAGTTGTGGCAGCATGATGATGTGGGAATATTTCTCTGCAGTGATCCACACCCCCAGTGGGAATAATCTGAAAATCTCCTGCTGGATGAAATGGGCGAAACAATTCATCCCTTAAAGAAAGATCTTAGATGTTTCTCACACTGCTCCTCCACTCTGCCTCAGCCTGCAGAGAATTATGGGAGGAATCCAACTATTTATACCTGGACATGGATTTAAATACTTTTGTACGCACGCTTTTTAAAAACAGCTCAGTGGAGAACCTTCAGGGAAGGTTTCCATCAACAAACTTCTAGAGCCGAGCTCCTTAATCCAGGAATGATCTTATTAGCTTGTAGGTCTTCCTTCTACCAGAGACTAGGAAGCATTTCATGTCAGATCGGAGAGCTTTAAGGAGTTAATGCATGTGCTGAGCTGTAATGTGGAAAGTTCTCATTAAACTGCTGTTTCCTCAGCTCCTCCAGCCCTGCAGGTCAGCACTTGGACTCTTGGAGAGATGAAGTCATGTCCTTGTTTCCTAATGGTTTCCTTCTGACTCTCTACTTTCCTGCAGAAGAACCGACGAGACAAGTTTCTCTGCCTGCATCTGCGACTAAGACCTCCATCTCTGACCTGACTCCAGATGTGAATTATGTGGTTACCATAGTAGCGTACGCCGGATCCGAGGAGAGTCTGCCCATCTCTGGCCAGATCACATGTGAGTGACCTGAATGGGAACCAATCAGGAGCTCCAGTTTGCTCCTCAGCTGATAGCTCAGACAGACCTCAGGGTTTCTGCTTCCCTCCAGATTTTTCACTTATAATTAGATTTTTTTTTAGATGTTTCGTTGACATGGATCAGTGTCTTTTGAAAGTTAAAAGGCAAAAAATTGCAAACAAATTGATGGATCTGATCTGCTTAAATATTCAATTCAATTCAGTTTATTTCTATAGCTCCAATTCACATCATGTCATCTCCTCCCATGGTATAATGGTTTCTGGTGATGAGTTGAAGGGAAGCAGAAACGTCTGAGGGGTCTGTTTTGTCTCTCAGATTTTTTATTGTTCTTTTTTTGTTTTTCATTTTTATTACAGGCAGTTAAGTTTTTCCATGGGGGAAAAGAAATGTGATTTAAATACTGGATAGAAAATCTGATTTTATAAATGATTATTATTATACTCTTGACGACCAATAAAGAAAATTAAAGCTCCAGAAGGTTGATTCAGACATGGCTTCATATTGCAAACAAAAAATGGTTTAAACCAACAAATGTTCTTAATGTTCCTTCTTTTATGACTAATGGATGTTTTCTCTTTCAGTGGAGTCGAGCGGTAGCTCCAGAGGAGGACCGAGGAAACCCACCACTTCAGATCTAGTCAGTAAGTCCCGATCAGCTCCTTATAAGCAAGAAAATGTAGCTCATCTACTAAACCTTTAGCATTAGCTAATTACTGTGTAGCAAGAAAATGTAGCTCATCTGCTAACCTTTAGCATTAGCTAATTACCATGTAGCAAGAAAATGTAGCTCATCTGCTAAACCTTTAGCATTAGCTAATTACCTTGTAGCAAGAAAATGTAGCTCATCTGCTAAACCTTTAGCATTAGCTAATTACTGTGTAGCAAGAAAATATAGCTCATCTGCTAAACCTTTAGCATTAGCTAATTACCATGTAGCAAGAAAATGTAGCTCATCTGCTAAACCTTTAGCATTAGCTAATTACCGTGTAGCAAGAAAATGTAGCTAATCTGTTAAACCTTTAGCATTAGCTAATTACCATGTAGCAAGAAAATGTAGCTGATCTGCTAAACCTTTAGCATTAGCTAATTACCGCGTAGCAAGAAAATGTAGCTCATCTGCTAAACCTTTAGCACTAGCTAATTACCATGTAGCAAGAAAATATAGCTCATCTGCTAAACCTTTAGCATTAGCTAATTACCATGTAGCAAGAAAATGTAGCTCATCTGCTAAACCTTTAGCATTAGCTAATTACCGTGTAGCAAGAAAATGTAGCTAATCTGTTAAACCTTTAGCATTAGCTAATTACCATGTAGCAAGAAAATGTAGCTGATCTGCTAAACCTTTAGCATTAGCTAATTACCTTGTAGCAAGAAAATGTAGCTCATCCGCTTAACCTTTAGCATTAGCTAAATACCTTGTAGCAAGAAAATTTAGCTAATCTGTGAAACCTTTAGCATTAGCTAATTATGTTGTAGCAAGAAAATGTAGCTCATCTGCTAAACATTTAACATTAGCTAATTGCCTTGTAGCAAGAAAATATAGCTAATCTCCTAAACCTTTAGCATTAGCTAATTACCTTGTAGCAAGAAAATGTAGCTAATCTGCTAAACCTTTAGCATTAGCTAATTACCTTGTAGCAGTTTTACATTGAGCTATATAGCATTTAGCTACAGATATTTAATCTTTCCAGACAAGTGCCACATAGCTCCAATTAAGTAATGTAAATTTGCTGATAAATATCTTTTAGCTCCATGTAATTAGCCTCTGGATAATGTAGCATCTAGCGCCAGATATTTAGCATTTAGCTCCATATATTTGGTCTTAGGTTCTGGATAAGTAGCCTTTAGCTTTCGACATGTAGCATCTAGCTCCAGATATTTAAGTGACACTTAGCTCCAATTAAGTAATGTCAAGTGGCAGAAAACAAATCCCTTAAGACTGAGATTATTGAACTTCTGGCCAGAGAAACAACCCGTAATATGTAGCCAACATTTGGAAGAAGAATGTTTTCAAGATGACTTGGATAATAGCGCGTTGTGACAAACACCAGATACAGCACTGGGACTTGATCAACAGCCGATACCGCACCGTGACAATGTCACTAACCAGTAGGTGGCAGTAGTGTTCTTTGACAAACATGGATGCCTCCAGTAAAGCACATTGAAATGATCATTTATTGAAAGGATGGAATAATTGCAGATTTAAAGAACTTTCAGAAGTTTGAATTCTGACTATGACCGAACTTCTCCTTTAAAAGAAAGCAGTCTTTTTGTGTGGCCCCTATGAATCAACGGCCCCCCCGTCCTCCCTTTAGTCAGGGCCGACTGTGACGTTAGCCAAACATGGTTCCTAACAAACTGGACCCGATCGTACAGCGATAATTAGCAGCGGGCCCCGTAAAGCTCCAATGATCTCAGTCTTAAGGGATTATTTTCTGCCAAGTATTGGAAACAGCTGCAGGCGCTCCATGCTGGGGTCAGAGGCCGGCGCTGTGATTTGAGCCCAGTCCTGTTGTCCTGATGGAAATGGAAACCATTACAGATGCTGGTTTATAAGAACTCTGCCGCTGCCTCTGTGGACCCAGTTCAGAGGTAGCCTCCAAAAAGCTGTGCGGAGGTTTAATTGCCGTTAGTTGGGTTAGCAAAGCCGAGCCCATCTGGTTATCCAGAAACACGTAACGGATTTAGGAATCCAGCGCCTCCTGTTTCCTGCAGAATCTCCTTTTAAGGCTTCATTAGTGACTCACATCCTCTGAGTTTACTGTGTTTTCACTATGAAGGTCCTCATAAGTATATATAATGATCCAGAAGCCTTTTATCACCATCATATCCAGCGGTAAACGAGCATGAAGAGAACAAGCAGGTAGAGGACGTGTCCTCCTGCAGAGACGATCCTCACTGAGCTCTGCTTGTCGGTTCCCAGGGTGCCCCGCCACGGCGGTGGCTGATCTGATTTTCCTGGTTGACGGTTCCTGGAGCGTCGGCAGGACCAACTTCAAATACATCCGCAGCTTCATTTCGGCCACCGCCGGAGCCTTTCAGATCGGCAAGGACAGAACCCGGGTGGGCGTGGTCCAGTACGGGGACGCTCCTCGAACCGAGTTCAGCCTGAACCAACACCTGACCCGACCCGCTCTGCTCAAGGCTGTCGGTTCGCTGCTTTACAAGGGAGGCAACACCAGGACAGGTGAGACCAGAAATCTAAATAAGACATTTTTTTCCTAAAATAAGTTCATTTTTTTCTTGGATTGAGGGAAAAGAGACATTTTGCCAATGGAATAAGTTAATTTACATTTAAAATAAGAAAACTGGCAGAGTATCTCATTTACCTACTGAAATTAAGGGTAAATACACTTAATTTAAGACATTTTTTACTTATTTCTAGGACGTTTTTCCAGTGAAAACAGCTGTTTTGATTACTTTCACTTTTCCTCCTGTAAATATCCTGGTTCCACACTAGAAAAAATTGAAAACTAGATACGTTATTTTTTCGTAAAATAAAGGTAAAGGAGGTAAAAGACACATTTACCGACAGAAGAAGACAATTTACGCTTAAAATAAGAAAAAAACAATTCCATAGTCTTATTTCAAGTGCATATTATCTAATAATTTTCTTTTGAGAGTTAAAATAGTCATTCCATTGGCAGATCATCTCATTTACCTGCTCAGATTAAAGGTAAATACACCTAATTTAAGACATTTTTTACTTATTTGTAGATTCTTTTTCCAGAACATCCAGCCGATGTTCCGCTGTTAGCAGCAGCAGCTCTAAAGTTTTCTTTCTTTGACGATCAAAACGCTTCTATGTTTCAGGCGATGCTCTGAGCTACGTCCTGACGAACGGGTTCACTGAAGCGGCCGGGTCCAGGAGAGATGTCCCCAAGGTGCTGGTGATCATCACGGACGGGCGATCCGATGATCCGGTGGAGAGCTACACCAAGCAGCTCAGGAGCCGCGGCGTGGAGATCTTCGTCCTTGGTGAGCGGCCAAAACCATCCATTCATCCATTTTCTGTCACGCTGGGGTGGCGAGGGGTGCTGGTGTCTATGTCCTCCTGTCTACTGGCGAGAGGCGTTGTCCACCCTGGACAGGGAGACACAGAGACAAACAGAGAATTTAGAGAAGCCAATTAAAGTCGTTAGGAATCATATTCAAATATCAAATGATTCTGGCTTAAACATGTATATAAATGTTCTCTTTATCAGACCATATTGTCCCAAAAGTTCAAAAATTTCTTTAAAAAAGAAAATCCTGTCTTAAAATCTGTTTTTTCTCCATTATCTTCTGCAGGCCAGTTAGTTCTACGTCAGCCTGAACACCTAAATTCATCCAATCATATATCAACGGTCATCTGTCAATCAGATTATTTCGGTCATAGCATCTTGATTCATATGTCGCAGCTAATATACGCAACGGTTGAAATCAGAATCCTTTCCTTTCCCATTGAGTTGCGTCCCAGTGTTCACGGGGATGGACGTCTGTGTCTTCGGCAGGCGTAGAGCTAACAGAACTGGCAGCGTTGCGAGGCAAGGGCTCAAACATGTACGGCTGGAAGCCTTCTACACCAAACCAAGCTTCTGCCGCCCTGGCGTCCTCTTCCACAACATCTTCGTCCCCGCTTTCCTCCTCTAAATAAAAAATGGATGACGGAGGAGACTCATCCACGACCTCCGACACTAAACTCTCCTCCTCTTGCATGTTTCCGCTGTCCATAGCGTTCCTTGACAGCGTCGTTTCTAAGTCACCAATTTAGTGCTACTTGGTCCCAATGGAATTTCCCATTGGGAACCTGCTAGCACTAAGATGCTAACTGGTTAGCAAGATGCTTCCGATAAACCGGCCACAACCAAACTTGCCTGTGAACCTTCCGCCACAACGATCCCGCCCCCTTGATAATCGACCAATCACAAGTCGAGCACCACTCGGGAGAATTCGGAAATGCGACGGTTGGAACAGCCGCTTCTCTACGACTTTAACCTAACAGTCATGTTTTTCGCCGGTGGCAGGAAGCTGGAGTACCCAGAGAGAACCCAGGCATGCTCAGGGAGAACATCTGAACTCCATGCTGAAATATCCCAGGCAGGGAATTGAACCCAGAAACTTCTGCTGCAAGGCAGCAGTGCCACCCACTGCTCCACTGAGCCGCCGGAGCGCGGCCAGAACCAGCCCAGAATATTCCAGAATCCTTCCATCCCCGTTTAATGGGGCTGTTTGTGTCAGACGCTGCAGATGAAGGATGGTGGATTCTTACTTCATCTGAGCGTGTGATAACAGGTCGAGGGTGTGTTTACATTCTGGCTTCCCTCGAAACTTTCCACAAACTCAGACGGAGAAGCAGGAGAGCTCCTGTTCCTGCGAGCAGGACTTCTGGAGAAGTCGTACCAGCCGTCTTCTGGAGGGTAGCGGTGGAAAAAAAAAAAAGCTTTATTAGATATCGTGTTAAAGACGTTTCCAGCAGATGATAACATGCAATAAATCCAGGCTTTATTTTCACATGTTGAGATTAAACCGCAGCTGCAGTAAAACTTTCCGTGTTTCGGATCCAAACAGCAGAAGAGCAAAGACGAAATGTTTGTCTGAAGGTTTATAGATTATAAGAACAGATCAGAAAATGGGTTTACTAACAGGTCCTGGTTCTGGTTCTGGAGCGGCCTGGAAACTCTGAAAGGAGCAGGTGTTTTCTGAGCTGCAACCCGATGATGGAGCTCCTCTGCTCAGCTGTTCGTCCCGTCATCCTTTTCTGATGGATCCACAGACAGACGCCACAGCTGCCATTTTATATTCAATAAAATGTAGATCTACACCGCAAAGAATTGAAATCTAAGCAAGTTATTTTTTCTTAAGCTTTTAACACACTGCAAAAAAGATCTAGAAATAAGTAAAACATTTCTTAAATTAAGTGTATTTACCCTTAATTTGAGTAGGTAAATACGATGATCTGCCAATTAAATTAGTATCCTTACTTTAAATAAGATAATTTGATAATATGAACTTAAAATGAGACAATGCAATTGGTTTTTCTTATTTTAAATGTAAATTATCTTGTTCCATTGGCAAAGTCTCTCACTTTTACGGAAGAGGATTAGGGCCACTGGAAAAAAAAAAGTTAACTGAATTTTACATTTTTTTCCAGTTTAGAATGGGAAAAAAGTCAGAATTCTGACTTTAAAGGAATAGTACACCCAAAACATGATTAGCCTTCATTTTCTACTCACCCCCATGCTGAACAACACTCTGGAGTACTTTTTTGATATCTCAAATGCATCTGGAGATCTGGGAGGCTTCTTGCTGTCTGCTGACATTCAAATAATGGAGGTCTATGGCGCCCGAGGCAGAAAGGTCCATAAAAGTCCACAAAAAACGTGTCAATATTCCTCCATACTGCTCGTCCAATGTATTCCAAGTGTACTGAGTGGGTAGCGTCCAGAATTTACTCGAAACGAAGTCATTTAGAATGTTTTTAGAGCATAAACAGTAGTGTATAGGATTTCCTGAAAGCGCGTTCACGAGTCTACGGAAACCGCGGCAGACCAAACCAGATGAAAGTGCGCATTCAGCGTCTGCTCTGCCGATAATGCAAGCGTAGAAGAAGAAATGTGCTGTTTACCTGTGCAAAGAAAGAAACAACGAAAGAAAAATGTATGAGGACTTCAGTGTTGAGGAAGAGCATGAGTTCTTTGCCGAGCTGAATGCGCACTTTCATCTGGTTTGGTCTGCCGGCTTCCGTAGCGTCATGAACGCGCAGGTGCGCTCTTTCAGGAAATCCTATACACTACTGTTTATGCTCTAAAAACATTCTAAATGACTTCGTTTCGAGTAAATTCTGGATGCTACCCACTCAGGACACTTGGAATACATTGGACGAGCAGTATGGAGGAATATTGACACGTTTTTTGTGGACTTTTATGGACCTTTCTGCATCGGGCGCCATAGACCTCCATTATTTGAATGTCAGCAGACAGCAAGAAGCCTCCCAGATCTCCAGATGCATTTGAGATATCAAAAAAGTACTCCAGAGTGTTGTTCAGCATGGGGGTGAGTAGAAAATGAAGGCTAATCATGTTTTGGGTGTACTATTCCTTTAATCTAAGAATTCTGACTTTAAATAAAATGTAAAAATCAGTTAACTGTTTTTGTTTTTTCAGTGGCCCTATTCCTCTTCCGTAAACTGTCGACCTCAATTAGAGAAAAAATGCACTTACTTTAAGAAGAAATTACTTACTTAGATTTCCATTTTTTGCAGTGCAGCTCCCCCATTTTCATACCCAAATGGAAAAGCAAATAACTTAGGAACTATAACCACAAATTAAATGTGCAATACATCATCTGAAAGCTAACACCTTCTTGTTTCTGAAAATTGGGTGAGTAAAACTCAGCCCAAGCTGCATCAGTTCAAACATGACTTAAAGTTGTTTTATTTTTTTTATTCTCGAAGATAATAGGTATTATTTGAACAGCAGTAATTAAGACATTTTTTGGAAATAAGCAGGTTTTATTGCATTACATTTGTTCTACATCATGTCAGCCGGAAATGCAGAACATTTCAGACCTCCAGCTGCAACAGTTCCAGAGATGTGGGGTTTTGAACTTTTGGAGTCACCAGCATCACCAAACTTCTCCAAATTGTGCCAAATTCTTTTACTGAACTATTTGACCCCATAGAAAAACTCTGAAGCATTTTGACATCCACAAAACATTTATGAAGCAAGTATTTTCCACTTGCTTTCAGAATATATAACAAAATGTAACATTTTTACACCTATAATAGCATAACAATCTATAATAAAAAATAGTGAAACTGCTGCTTTTCAAGCTAAAATAAGCCACATTGCTGTTTTTCCAGCCTTATTTTGTAATAAAACAAAATCAGTGTCCAAACTTATAAAAATTATGACTGCTGTTTTTACTCAGCTTGGAGCTGCGCGCATTAATCCATCCACTGCTGTGAGTTTCACTCTTATGCAAGCTGGTAAAACGGCTTTGCATTAAACTCTGGAAATAATCGAATAATAGACAAGTCGTTTTTTCTTAAAATAAGTGCTTTTTTTCCTAGATTGAGGAGGTAAAAGAGACATTTTGCCAATTGAACAAGACAATTTACGCTTAAAATAAGAAAACACAATTGCATTGTCTTATTTCACACGCATATCATCTAATTATCTTATTTTAAGAGTAAAAATACTCATTCCATTGCAAACTGTCTTATTAACCTTCTCATATTAAGGGTAAAAACACTTAATCTAAGAAATTTTTACTTATTTCTAGATCATTTTTGCAGTGTATAAGTGCATTATTCTTGAATTGAGGATGTACACTGCAAAAATGATCTAGAAATAAGCAAAAATGTATTAAATTAAGTGTATTTACCCTTGATTTGACAAGGTAAATTTGACAATTTGCCAATGGAATCAGTATTTTTACACTTAAAATAAGATAATTAGATAATATGCACTTGGAATAAGACAATGCAATTGTGTTTTCTTATTTTAAATCTAAATGGTCTTGTTTCATTGGGAAAATATCTCTTTAATCTCCTCAATTTAAGAAGAAATGCACTTATTTTAAGAAAAACTTATCTAGATTTTGATTTTTTCCAATGTAAGTGAGACGCTTTGCAAATGAAACAAGACAATTTTCATTTAAAATAAGAAAAAACAATCTTATTTTAAGAGCACAAATGCTAATTTCATTGGCAAATCATCTTATTTACTTAAATAGTAAATAAACTTAATTGAAGAAAGTTCTAGATTGTTTTTATGGCGCAGACTTTTGAAGAGAAAACATTCAACATCACGATCCTTTAATTGGTTGTTTGATCCGAGCTGGGCTCTGTTATCCGTCCCAGTGTTTGTTTTGGAGAGGCGAGCTGCAGGATTTTATCACCGCAGCGCTGGACAGACTTCAGACGCATGAGCGGAGAATTTTATTCCATGTTTTTATGTTTTGAAGTGGCGCTCAGCTGCTGGAGAAAGGCTGTTTTCCTCCTGAAACACGGCTCAGATTTCTATTCTAAGAGCCTAACTTTAAACAAACCCGAAGGCTGCAGCTCGTCTAATGATGTCAGAGCGACTGCAGAGCGTTATAGGGTCGTTAAACCGCTTTCATATTCACTGCTCTCGCTGTCAGAGTGGGAAAAAAATCTGTTCAGTCTGCAAACCTGGAAAAAATTAAAACTCCTGTGCATTTTTTACAGGCTGGTAGCAAAAAGAAAAATCCTTAGGATGGGTCAAATGAGAGCAGAAAGTTAACCCCCCTGTTCATCCTCGCAGGCGTCCATCAGGCTGATGAAGCAGAGATGAAGGCTCTGGCCTCCACGCCGTTCCAACATCACATCTACAGGGCGGCCAACTTTGACACGATCCAGGTCGTCCAGAACGACTTCATCACTCAGATCTGCTCGAGCGTAGAGGATCAGCTCAGCTTACTGACCAGCGGAGAAGAAGGTGAGATTCCTCCATTATTTTAACAGGAAGTTTGGATCCCTGGAAGTGACTCTATGGTTCTTCTAAAGGTTTATTCTGACTAATGAGCAGGATACATCAACAGTGGTTCCCAAAGTCAGGGGCACGCCATTTAGGGGAGTTCAACCAGGGGCGAACTCAGGATATTTGGAGCCCTAGGCAAAGACAGGCAGGGGGCCCCTCTGAATGGAGAACACATTCTCCAGATAGATAAATGTTAATAGAATAGACATCCATTATCTGTTCTAGGTTGTGTCCCTCTCTTCTTGTCCCTTTTCTTCTTGTTTTCCTCTCTATGTTTTGTACTCAGCTGACTTTTCATGCTGTCTCTAAAGGAATGAAAAATTTTTTCCAAGCACTAAGCTCACTTAGCTGATTGCTCCTTCCTGTGTTTCCAAAAAGGCCAAAGTAAATAACCCAGTCCTTCTTTTCACTGTAGACAAGCCATGATCTGCTTATCTGTTCTCCATTTTTCATTTGGATGAAATAATAGCTGCATGAATCATGACAGCAGACAAGATAGAGGAGAGCAGGAGGCGGGGTTACCAATCTACTCGCTCTGGAGAGCAGAGTTCGCTGCTTTTAGATGTTGTCTCCAAAGTCTCCAGTAGCAGAAAAAAGTCTCTAGATTTGGCGCTAGGCGCTTTTTAGAAATCAAAGTGCTAGAGGGGTCTGAAAAGTGGCTAAATATAGCGACTAAAGCGCTAAGTTGGCATCACTGCTCTTTGCATCGTTTGTTTTATATACTCTAATAATCCCAGAGGGAAATTGCTTCTCTGTATTTAACCCCTCCCCTTGGGGAGCAGTGGGCTGCCATTGTGCGGCTGCGGGGGATCGAACTCAATCTCAGGATTCAAAGCCCTACGCCCTAACCACTAGGCCGCCACTTCCCCGTTTGTTGGCTTTTTAGCAAAAAACATAACTAATGTACACAAATAAGGAATAGTTGTACTAACCATACATGTTAACAGATTTTTATGGGGCCCCCAGGAACTTCTTGTGGATATTAACTAAATAAATGGCCAATTTAAAGATGATTATAAAAAAATATATAATGGTAGCGGTTCACGTTAACGATTTTTACCACTTGCCCAAAGGGCAAGTGACTTTCACATTTCATTTGCCCAGAAACAATTTTTACTTGCCCAGTATAATGTTTGATAAATATAGTTCCTAATATTCATTTTTGTATATATATCAATGAAACATGTTTGTTTTTTAAATGTTTTTTGTAATTCAGTATTTTTTAAGAAAATCGTCCGGTTTTTTCAAATCACGCGATAATGTGTACAAAACAACAAAAATAGCGCCGGCAGCGCTTCTTGGGCGTTTTCATCGAATGTCTGTGATTTTAAAGTAATTTTGAGTGATAAATATTTTTTTTTTTTTTTTTTGCGATCATTGAAATTCGTACTCTCCTGACAATAAAAACTACTTGCCCCGGGCGATCGGGCGATGGGTAACATCGAGCCCTGACTGGTGATGTTGAATTCTGGTATACAATAAAATAATACTAAAAATGATATAAATAAGCTTTAAATGTATGGAGGATAAAAAGTGCCAAAATTAAATAAATAAATACAGCATTAAATAAATAATTAAATGTGTCAATAATTAATTAAATGTGGAATTAAATAAATAAATGTGTCATTCATTAATTAAAACCACGTCACTAATATAAAGTGCCACAATTAAATAAATAAATACAGCGATAAACAATTAATTAAATGTGTAATTCATTAAATAAATAAGGAATTAAATATATAAATGTGTTGTTGATTTAATAAAATACGTCTTCATTTTATTAAAAATATATATATAATTATTTCAGTGTGCATTTAATTATTTCATGGTCCTGTGTCGCAGTGCATCGAAACCATTAAAAGAATCTGTCAAACTCACCCATCAAAGTTAGGGGGCGGGGTTAAAGCAAATCGAGTCTCTGTAATCGATTTGCTTCGCCTTAATGTGCAGGGTGACCAATCAGGTGTTAGATAACCGCCCCCTAACTTTGATGGGTGAGTTTGACAGATTCTTTTAATGGTTTCGATGCACTGCGACACAGGACCATGGAATAATTAAATGCACACTGAAATAATTAGATATATTTTTAATAAGATGAAAGCGTATTTTATTAAATTAATGACACATTTATATATTTAATTCCTTATTTATTTAATGAATTACACATTTAATTAATTGTTTATCGCTGTATTTATTTATTTAATTTCGGCACTTTTTATCCTCCATATAAATGAGGTAGATTTGTGATTTATTTGATCTCCATCCACTTCCCTGCAGTTGACTTTCCTTTGTTCATCTGTCATAAAAGTCTGGCTTTGGGGGGGGGGGGTGAGAACTTTCTTTTAAAACAAAGAGGAGGCCCACCAGGAGGAGTTTTGGAACCACCGGTTTAGAAGAATCTAATCTTTCTATATCATGATCATCCTCTTTGCCCCTTCTAATGTTCACTGTCTGAATCAGAAACACATCCGGTTCAAACTGGTCGTTTCTTCCCAGTTTAATTGTTTCTTTACTTTTTAAATGTTTCTCATTAGAGGAACAAAAAGGCTTTCTTTGTTTCCCACCGTGTTTGCAGAGCTGAGCTTCTGGAGGATCTGATTCCCTATAATTTACAGATTTCTGACTGTAATCAGCCCCAACAGAGCAGCTGCTTGTCTGGGACCATCCTGTGGGACAAGAGTCTCCCTCAGTATGAAGACAGACGGGAGGAGGGAAACAGAATCCGTTTTTACATGATTAAATGATTTTACCTCAAACAGAAGGTATCAGTATTTTACTGCTACTAAACCGATAAAATAGTGTTATAGGTTGGTTTTTATATGCAGTTTGAAACAAATATTGAGTAAACTCAATATCCATTCTGGTATAATTCAACAAAAAAATGCGGACCAACATAACCCTCATGGACAAAAGTTAAAGTTAAAAAAACTGGAATTAAAAAACAATCCACTGGACTTTGTTTCCGAGTTTGAAGACGTTTCTCTTCCCATCCAGGAAGGTTTTTCAATTCCAAATGTCTGGATTAGCGTTGAGTTCTAGGCTTTTATAGAGTAACCAACTCTACCGCTTCGTAATGGGAGTCGTTAAGGTCGTTATTGGCCTGCAATACCCAATACCTGTCCATTCTTCTAAAAAAAGGCAGTCGTTAAGGGTCATTGTTGGCCTGGTTGACCTGGCGAGATATTTTGTTCGCCTGATGTGGGTTCAGATGGTAGTGGGAAGGAATTGCAGGTATTGCAGGCCAATAATGACATCAACGACCCCTATTATAAACTGAGAAAGCCTCCTGGATGGGAAGCGAAACATCTTCAGACTTGGAAAACAATGTCCAGTGGGTTGATTTTTAACTTTTTTGGATTGACTTTGCCCTGGATGACTGAGAATCTCCACCAACAACCCTCATGGACAGTGTTCTAGGCCTATATTGGGGTCCATCTGATTTCATTCTCATATTAGCGGACTATGCAGTTCTGCCGGCTCATAGAACTAGGCTGGTCCAACATTGTTCCTTCGACCCATTGAGCTCCTCTTTCACAACCAGTTTAACCAGTTTGATTAGGCCTCGAGGTCAGCATTACCCAAACATTTCTGCTTCTGACCCATAAAATGATATCATAGTCGACTGATGACCCAAAGTATCGACTGCGTATCCAAACATTTCTACAAAGCCGATAAACTATGAGTACATTCATGTTATCAACAGCATCAAAATCCAAAGCAGTCGCTTCTGTCCGTAATTAAGTGATTTTACATTTTTTAGCACTTTTATGTAATCGTTTATTGTTTAGATTGATTTATTTCAGATTCGGGCCGTTTCTCAGTTCACAAAAACGCAAATAAAATATGTTCATGACAAGCCCTGCAGACGGACTAACGTTATCCCTGGCTGCTGTAGACGGGCTAACGTTATCCCTGGCTGCTGTAGACGGGCTAACGTTATCCCTGGCTGCTGTAGACGGGCTAACGTTATCCCTGGCTGCTGTAGACGGGCTAACGTTATCCCTGGCTGCTGTAGACGGGCTAACGTTATCCCTGGCTGCTGTAGACGGGCTAACGTTATCCCTGGCTGCTGTAGACGGGCTAACGTTATCCCTGGCTGCTGTAGACAGGCTAACGCTATCCCTGGCTGCTGTAGACGGGCTAACGTTAGCCCTGGCTGCGGTCAGCCTCCGAGCTCCGCTAGTTGCCACGGTCCTCTCAACATCGGAACTTTTTTTTAAATTTCGCACTGAATCAGCAAATGGGCCATATAGTGAAGCTTAAAGTATAACTTTCTCACCTCTAATGATCTTAAAACTTATTTTTATAGAACATTGGAAAAAGAGAATTTTGAGCTTCATACCAGCGGTGCTTGGTGAGACAGCTGTCAGTCTGGAGAACGCATAAATCTGCTCTGATGCATGCTGGGTAAATTCAATTAAGTTTATTTCTATAGCGCAAATTCACATCATGTCATCTCAGGTCACTTTCCAGTTCACCAGATCATCCAGTCAGATTGATTCAAAGTTTTCTATCTAAGGAAAACCAGCTGTTTGCATCGACTCATTGACTCTTCAGCAATCCCTCACACTAAGCATGCTTGTAGCGACAGTGGAGAGGAAAAACTCCCTTTGAACAGGAAGAAACCTCCAGCAGAACCAGGCTCAGTGTGAGCGGCCATCTGCTGAGGCCCACTGGGGTTCAAGGAGACAGAAGCAGACATAGAAAAAGAAGCATAGATACAAAAGGCAACTGTCAACCAGCTCCACAGGCGGCCCCGTCCAGGAAACACACAGCCAGGCAGACGAGCTCCGAGCCAGCTCCCATGTCAGAGGATGAAGAGAGCACATCCAGTTAGTCACAGTCAGAGAAACAGGACTACACTGGAAAACAGGCCAAGCTCCAACATCTAGAAACTCCAACAGAAGTTTGAGTTTATAGATGTAAATAGGGAGGGGACTTTTTGGGGACTTTTTCCGTTCTTGTTCTCTGTCTCGTGTTCTTGTGAATTGGAACAGTGTTGAGGCTGATGCAGATGATGTTTCACAAGCACACGAGAATGCACAAGTACACATATTAAGGAATGGCCTCTGTCTCTGTGATCAGGTCTCAAATGTTCTAGACCAGGGTTCCTCAACCCGCGGCTCCAAAGCCAATTTCGGCTCTTAATAATTTTAACAAAAGTCATTTTAACAACATTTGTGTAATGTTTTTAATTACGAGCTCCTGCACTGTGGCAACCATTAGTGGACGCATCTATGAAAAAACATCATTTTGTTTCGTCTTTGCAGTTGTGGATCCAGCCTCTAACCTCCGAGTCCTCGAGGTGGCTTCCAAGTCCATGAGGGTGACCTGGGATGCCTCAGTTGGTGACATTTCAGGCTACAGGGTTCAGATGATCCCAATGATGGCCGGCAGTAAGCAGCAGGACCTGTATGTTGATTCCTCCCAGACCTCGGTTGTGGTCAAAGACCTTTCTCCAGACACAGAGTACCAGGTCAATGTTTTCAGCTTGAAGGACCTGTTGTCCAGCGAGGCCGTGGTGGTCATGCAGAAAACGGAGCCACTTAAAGTTTCACTGGGTGAGTAAAACAAAATGTCTTTGTAACCTCGACACTCCTGATGCAAAAATTGATGGTATTGTTTTCGCTTCCAGAGTGCTCTCTGGGTGTGGATGTGCAGGCCGATGTGGTGCTTTTGGTGGATGGATCCTACAGCATTGGAAAGAAAAACTTTGCCAAAGTTAGAGCTTTCCTTGAAGTCCTGGTGAACACCTTTGACATCGGACCAAACAAGGTTCAGATTGCCTTGGTGCAGTACAGCAAGGACTCCTTTACAGAGTTCTACCTAAACACTCATCAAAACGTCAACGGCGTGGTCAAAGCTGTTAGATCTTTCCCATATCGAGGCGGCTCTACCAACACCGGCAGAGCCATGACCTACGTAAGGGAAGAGATCTTCCAGACCAACAGGGGCGCACGAGCCAACGTTCCCCGAGTCACCATCCTCATCACCGACGGAAAGTCGTCCGACGCTTTCAAAGAGCCGGCCACCAAGCTGAGGAATGCTGACGTGGAGATCTTTGCTGTGGGTGTTAAAGACGCCGTACGAAGTGAACTTGAAGCTATCGCTAATGAGCCTGCAGAGACTCATGTGTACACGGTGGAGGACTTTGACGCTTTCCAAAGAATTTCCAAGGAGCTGACACAGTCCATTTGCCTGAGGATCGAACAGGAACTCCGCAGCATCTACCAGAGACGTAAGTCCCGTTTATCCTCTACGCAGACGATGCTCTCATGTTTTCATCAGCATTGCTTCGACCAATTCAGTGGTTCTTTCTGATTCTTATTATTTTGGTATTCAAAAGGTTGAGAAAGCATGGAGTAGTCTGTTTAACTACCGATTTAAAGATAATGGTAGGCTGAGAATTCGGACAACAATGGCAGTTTCTCAATTCACTAGAACGCAAGTATGGAACCATCATCCGTCCACAGAACAAACTGGTCACAAACCTGACATTTATGAAGAAAGCTGTGGTCATACTGCAAAAAATGTAAATCTACATAAGTCGATTTTTCACAAAATAAGTGAATTTTTTCATGAATTCATTTTATTTAGTGGGGGAAAAATAATGAACACAGTCAGATAAACACATATCTAATGAACGTTTTGAAAAATAAAACTATTAAACCTCCATCAGATCCAGCGATACTTCACACATGGCTATGCAGAAAGAGGGCTGCTGCAGATGGGTAATGTTAGCCACGGCTGCTTCAGACGGTCTAACGTTAGCCCTGGCTGCTTCAGACGGTCTAACGTTAGCCCTGGCTGCTTCAGACGGGCTAACGTTAATGCCGGCTGCTTCAGACGGGCTAACGTTAATGCCGGCTGCTTCAGACGGGCTAACGTTAACCCTGGCTGCTTCAGACGGGCTAACGTTACCGCCGGCTGCTTTAGACGGGCTAACATTAACCACGGCTGCTTCAGGCGGGCTAATGTTAGCCCTGGCTGCTTCAGGCGGGCTAACATTAACCACGGCTGCTTCAGGCGGGCTAATGCTGCGTTCACACCGGGCGCAGCTGGCGCGACAGAAGCAGCGAGTTTACATGCAAAGTCAATGGTTGACGCGCGTCAAGGCGCAGCAAAATGTCCCGCGGCGCGTTTTGAGCAGCAGGCGCAGCGCGTCTGGCGCGTTTAAGCATCTGACGCGTGTGACACGTCGCAAACGCGCTGCTGCTAAAGATGGAAAAATTGAATTTTTGCTGCTCGACGCGCCGCGTCAACCAATTAGAGAAGCTGATCTAGGAGCTGGCTGGGAGAGAGACACATCGCTGATGACACAGACCGCTCTGATTACTCCTCTTAAACAGTTTATTAACGCATAATCAGTGGCGGCTGGTGAAAAATATTTTTGGTGGGGCTGATATAGCCTAGTGTATGTCTCCAACTAATCCGGAATAAGAATTCAAATAAACAATTGGACAATACATACAATTTAACAGTAATGATTTAATTTACTATATAATAACAGTAACAGTGATGATTTGGGTCACTGTGACGGGGTTCTTTGGCCTCCAAGAATCCAGGCTCAGTCGGGTTACCGGTGTTGGTGATTTATTGAGCTCAAAAACTCAAAACAGGGTGCAAAAGAAACTAAACATGTACAAGATACTCTGGGCTGAAGATGACAAGTCCCCATAGCATAAACACGTACACACCCACCCCCCCCGCACACCCACACACACACGGCTAACCACACTAAAATATTAAGTGTGCCCCTCAATACGCCAGCAGGTAACCAGGACAGCTTGTGTGTTTTAAGTTAATGGAGCTACTGGGCTCAGCGCGAGCGGATTGGTCCTCACAAACACAGTATAACAGGAATGTGTGTGTGGCGTGCAAAGTTAGAGGATGTGGATTCGTCACAGTCAAAATAACCATGACATGAATTTTTCATATCCTACAACAGGGATGTTCTTCTGGCAAACGGGTAGATAAATAAGGATCTCACCGAATTTGGTGGAAGCTGCATCTCGTTCGTTACGTTCGCCATCTTCTCTCTAATTGTCTGCACCTGCGCTTGGGTTCAGAAGCCTGTTAAAGCGCAGTATTTTCAGCGCCCCAAGACCATAAAGTTCTGAGACGCTGATTGGCCATTAAATTCACCTAGCAATAATACATGATTGACAGATTCTCTGCAAATGTGGGGCAGTCTGATCAGCGCCCCCAGAACAGAGACGGTAGGAGTCTGTCTGTGGAAATCCACAAATGAATGACAGTAGATAGGGAAATGTAGTTTATATAATTTGTTTTGCTTATAGGTACACACTCTAGAGAGTAAAACTGACATTTATGAGTTAATTTCTAAAAAATATATTTTACGTTTCTCTCTTCTTATCAGGGAGGGCGGTGCCCCAGCGCCCCCTATGGGCCGGCCGCCACTGCGCATAATTAACTTAAAATATATACATCTGCCGGCAGAATATGTTCGCTTTTATTATCCTGCTGCCTGCAGATCAGATTATTTAGATGAAAAACACCTACCAGCCGCTGCGGTAAACCGCGAGGAGGCGACCCGGCCAGAGGCTGCTGATGAAGGGATTCCTTCTGTCTGCGCACCGCTGGTATGTGGGGGTCTGAGCGGCTCCGACAGAAATAACATTGGGAGGCAGGATTGTAATCTGGATGAACTGACTGCACTGATTACGTTTTCAGGTGTATTTTCTCACTTAAAAACATATTAAAACTACTTTATTCCCACTGATCACAGCAAATATAGCTGCAAGGCAGAGAAAGGATAGTGAAGCTCCGCCCAACGCGCGTCAGACACACTTTTGCACCGCGCAGGCAGAGCAGCAAAGCTGCTTCAGCCGCGCGTCAGAACTAACTGGTACAAGCAGCAAAAATTAAGCAGCAGACGCGATTTTGCTGCTTTTGCTGCGTCCGGTGTGAACGTAGCATAACATTAACCCCGACTGCTTCTTACGGGCTAACATTAACCCTGGTCGCTTCAGACGGGCTAACGTTAATGCAGACTGCCTCAGATGGGCTAACGTTAGCCCCGGCTGTTGCAGACTTTTACATTTGTTAGATCTTTGATATAATTTTCAATTGTTTAGATTGATTTCTGTAGGGGACCCTGTGCCGTTTGATCAAGTGGGGTCATGACCCCGACTTTGGGAAATGGTCCTCTAGATTCTGGCCGTTCCTCAGTTAACAAGAACGCAAATACGGACTTATGTCCTCGCCAAGTATGTTCTTGAAAAGCACACAGGAAAGCTATGCACACAGCTATGCTGAGACAGGCCTGCTGCAGATAAGCTAATGTTAGCCTCTGGTTGTCCTCTAAACATCTGAACTTTTTCTTAAATTACGCACTAAATCAGTAAATGGGCCATGCAGTGAAGCTGAAAGTATAATGTTCTCCCTTAAATTATCTTAAAACGTACTTTTCTAGAACAACGGCAACAGAAAAGAGAACATTTACTTCAATACTCGGAGCTCTGTGAGCGCTAGCCTGGAAGCTGCTGCTGCTGCAGTGCATGCTGGGAAGGCTGTCAGTCTGGAGAACAGACAAGTCTGCTCTGATGCATGCTGGGTAAAGACGGTCTGCTGTTCTTGTGAATCGGAACAGTTCTGGGGCTGATGACGTTTCACGAGCACACAAGAACTCATAAGTACCCACACTGAGAAACGGCCAATCACTCTCTTTCCATCCATGATGGCAGAGTCCAACTGTTCTTCTCAGTTGATGCAGCCGACCTATTGCCACACAGAGACGCTAACTCTTCTCATCCTGATTGCTCCTGCATCCTTATATTTTATTGCACCCGTAGATTGTGCAGAAGTGTGCCGCCTGCATTTAACCCCTCCCTAAGGTTGCGGCGAGCAGCAGCCGGGCAGCATTCAGTGACCAAGGCGCTTGATCAGGGATAAACACCCTGCTCTAGAACTGCACCCCCTTCTCCGCTGAAAGGCTTTTCCAAAACACCTAAACGGATGGTTATAGATCCACCTGAAACTGATGTTAGTCATAGGTGAAAACAGATGTGGAACCATCACAACATCTGTTTCCCTGAAGATTTAGAAGCGGAGCGTGCAAAGGGAAAACATCTCCATGTGTTGCAGGGAAACGTGTGGCTTTTTATCACCCCTGCTGAGGAATGCAGGTAATGGAGCCAGAATTGTATGTTTGGAATCTTCTGGTCACAGAGGAACCAGGATAGCCTCCATTATTATTTGGTCTCCTGTTCAGCTAATTACTCAGATTTTGTGAGATGATGACATAATAGCAGAGGGGTGTTATGTGGGGCTGATGGTGTAATCTATAATTAAAGGTTACATTTTAAGTAACGTTTTCACTGGAATTCACAAGAGAATAGGGCTGCAACTAACCATCGATTAATCCGTTTATTATCACTTTGATTAATAATCGGATAGAATAGGTTCCTTAAAGAAGATCGTTTACAGGATCACTGCCAAAAACATCTAGAAATAAGTAAAAAATGTCTTAAATTAAGTGTATTTACCCTTAATTTGAGCAGGTAAATAAGATGATCTGCCAATGGAATGAGTATTTTTACTCTTAAAATAAGATAATTAGATAATATACACTTGAAATAAGACAAAGCAATTGTTTTTTTCTTATTTTACATGTAAATTGTCTTATTCTATTGGCAGAGTGTCTCACTTACCTCCTCAATTTAAGAAAAAATTCACTTAATTTAAGAAAAAATGACTTATTTAGATTTTCATTTTTTGCAGTGATCACACTAGAAAAAAAAAAATCGCAATTTTTTTCTTAAAATAAGTGCATTTGTTCTTGAATTAAGGAGGTAAAAGAGACATTTTTGTAAATGGAACAAGATAATTTACACTTAAAATAAGGAAACAAAATTGCAGTGACTTATTTCAAGTGCATATTCTCTAATTATCTTATTTTAAGAGTAAAAATACTCATTCCATTGGCAGATCATCTTATTTACCTTCTTAAAATAAGGATAAATACGTTTAATTTAAGAAATTTTTACTTATTTCTAGATGTTTTTGCAGTGCAAACCAGGTGAAACTAAATGAGTTCTCCATAAAGCATACTGACTGACGAAAAAGATTTTTATCTTAAATGCAAAATGTTTTATGCAATTTTTGCTATATTTAATACTCTAAGTGGGTCGCGTTGTCAGCTAAAGGCATGTTTTAATAATTATAATAATTGAACTTCACCTCTGCATTTAAGCTGCACTGGAAAAAATCAAAATCTAGATAAGTAATTTTTTCTTAAAATAAGTGCACTTCTTCTTAAATTGAGGAGATTAAAGAGACATTTTGCTTATGGAACAAGACAATTTAGATTTAAAATAAGAAAACACAATTGCATTCTCTTATTTTAAGGGTAAAAATACTCATTCCATTGGCATATTATCAAATTTACCTATTCAAATCAAGGGTAAATACACTTAATTTAGGAAATGTTTACTTATTTCTAGATCATTTTTGCAGTGTGGGAAGCAGTGCACTGGAAAAACCATCTAGAAATAAGTAAAAATCACTGAGATTAAGTGTATATATCCTTAATTTGAGTAGATAAACGAGACAACTTGCCAATGGAACAAGTATTTTTACTCTTAAAATAAGATAATTAGATAAACTGCACTTTAAAATAGACAATGCAATTGTGTTTTCTTATTTTAAGGGTAAATTGTCTTGTTCCATTGACAAAATGTCTCTTTTATCTCCTCAATTCAAGAACAAATGCACTTATTTTAAGAAAAAAATGACTTATCAAGATTTTTTTTTTTTTCCAGTGTGGGCTGCCATTGTGCGGCGCACGAGGAGCAGTCTGAGGTTTAAGTGCAATAAGATAAGAATAAAATGCAATACAGAATAAAATCTCTATTTTTTTTTTTCATTCTGTTGAGGTTTTCTATATTCTTTTTTTAAAACAATGATGTTTAGGCACTAAAGCATGAGGGGATTTAATATTTCTCTGGAGGATTTGAAGTAATCCCAACCGCCAAAACAATTAAATACAACAATAAACGGCTAGAACTCTACCAACCAGAACAGATCGGCATCACGCTCCCTTTCATGTCCCCCTTTTTTCTGCTAAACCCTCTGAATGTGTAAACCACATGTCCACCTTTTGATCTCTGCCGTCCAGGGAGAGTCCTGCATGTGGAAACAGTAAACTGGGTCAAAAAGCTGTTTTTCTTCTGTTAAAACCTGCCTGCAGCTGACTCCGTGTCACCATGATGACGGTCCTCTTCGCTAGAATAAAACCGTCGCTCACGGATCCCTAAACTCAACAAGACTTGGAAACATAAGTCTAGGATTATCAGACGCCACCAACCATACGGCCGATCGGTTGATGCAGGATCTGAAATGCTGCCAGAAACGTCTTCCAGGTCTAGCGGAGTTAAATATGACTCATAACGATTATATAATCCTTATATAATAATGGCTGCATGTCAGAGGATGGGGCGTTCCTCAGCAGCTGCCATCGTGTTGGCGAGATGATGGAGCTGTCACATCTCATAGGTCCTTCATCTTCATTAACCGACATGCGGGTCAACCTTTACCCCCTGATCTACCGTTTCCCTTTCAACACCGTCCTAAAAGGGATTTAAACCGCAGAGCTGCTGCTTGAATTATTTGTTTTTGTCTCCCATCAGGTCTGGAAAAAAAAGCAGCCTTGCAGCTATTAGAATAAGTGAATTATAGAGCGCTGTTATGTTTTCCAGATGAAAGGCAGAGGTGATGGATGGGGCCCAGTGCGTTCACTGAGTTCTGATGGATAGAAAACAGAAGGATAAACTGCAGCTTTTATTATCAGAGCCTAAAGGTTCGAACGGAGGGAAGTTCAGCTTTAACATGCCAGGACTATCAGGCCGTTTCTCTCTCTCTAGTTTCATTTTTCTAAATGTTTGAATAACGTCATTCTGAATACTAAAAAAACTGCTCCGTCTTTATTTCATAAGTTAAACCATCTGTGGCCCACAAGGTTATGAGAAAACCACCATTCAAACATCCAGGCCATTAGAAAACCCCAGAATGGGTGAAATTCAGCACCACATCCAAGGAGGAAGGTGTCTGCTTCGAACCAGGCAGAAATAAAAGGATAAGGCACAAGGAAGCAATAAAAATATGAAACGCTTTCCCCTTGTAAGCTACAAAAAAAGTGGCTGAGCTAAAGTATAGTTTTCCTGATTCAAACCAAGTTGCTTTGATGTCTGACCCAAGTTAATAGCTGGATTGGTTAACTTTTGCTTTTTAGCAGCTACTGGGTTAAACAAAGCCGAGCCGAGCGCCACAGGGTGTCAGGCTGATATAAACAGGTTCCTAAAAACAGGCCCGTCATTTTTTTTTATTCTAAGACATCATTCATAAAACGGAGAAAGAAATTTAGAGAAGGGTAGAATAAATTAACCTAAATGAAGCAGTGGAAATAAACAAAATGTTAACTGATCCCTTTTATGCCGAGGAATAAAAACAGGATGGAGAGCTACGCTGGACGCTGCCGTGATCTGATCTATTTCTGACAGAGAAAACCAACATGTCTGCTTAGTGCCTCTTAACAATAAGTTGGAAAAGAAGCTTTAATAAGTTGGGTTGAGGATCCGTGTGTTGCCCCCTGGCTGCAGTAGTGACTGATCTGACATTTTTGGACATCTTGTATTTTAAGATTATAATTTAGAAGATCCTGTTAAAGCTACCTGTATGTTCAACTATAAGTTACCTATAGTTCCCATAAAAGTTACTAGTAAGTTCCTGTAAAAATTACCTGTAACTTCCCATATAATTTACTAGCAGGTTACTGTAAAAGTTATCTGTAAGTTCCGATAGGAGTTCCTTCCAACTTTTGGTAAAACTTGCTGAAATTTTTTGTTAATTTACCTGTAAGTTCCCATAGATGTTACCAGTAAGTTGCTGTGAAAGTTACTAGTAAGTTCCTGTAAAGTTACCTATAAGTTCCAATGAAAGTTACCTGCAAGTTCCCTTGCAATTAACTACTAAGATTATGTAAGTGTCACCTGTAAGTTCCTGTGAAAGTTACCTGTAAGTTCCTGTAAAAGTTACTTGTAAGTTCCTGTAAAAGTTACTTGTAAGTTCCTGTAAAAGTTACTTGTAAGTTCCTGTAAAAGTTACCTGTAACTTCCCATAAAAGCTACTTGTAAGTTCCTGTGAAAGTTACCTGTAATTTCCCATAAAAGTTACTTGTAAGTTCCTGTGAAAGTTACCTGCAATTTACCTTACAATTTACTAGTGAGTTCCTGTAAAAGTTACCTGTAAGTTCCTGTAAAAGTTACTTGTAAGTTCCTGTAAAAGTTACCTGTAACTTCCCATAAAAGCTACTTGTAAGTTCCTGTGAAAGTTACCTGTAATTTCCCATAAAAGTTACTTGTAAGTTCCTGTGAAAGTTACCTGCAATTTACCTTACAATTTACTAGTGAGTTCCTGTAAAAGTTACCTGTAAGGTCCCATCAAAATTACAAGCAAGTTCCTGTAAAAGTTGCCTGTAACTTCCCATAAAATTTACTAGCAGGTTACTGTAAAAGTTATCTGTAAGTTCCGATAGGAGTTGCTTCCAACTTTTGGTAAAACTTGCTGAAATTTTTTGGTAATTTACCTGTAAGTTCCCGTAGACGTTACCAGTAAGTTGCTGTAAAAGTTACTAGTAAGTTCCTATGAAATTTACCTGTAAGTTAACTTACAATTAACTACTAAGTTCCTGTAAATCTCACCTGTAAGTTCCTGTGAAAGTTACCTGTAATTTCCCATACAATTTACTAGTGAGTTCCTGTAAATTTAACTTGTAAGTTCCCGTAAAAGATACTTGTAAGTTCCTGTAAATGTTACCTATAAGTTCCTGTAAAAGATACTTGTAAGTTCCTGTAAATGTTACCTATAAGTTCCCGTAAAAGATACTTGTAAGTTCCTGTAAATGTTACCTATAAGTTCCCGTAAAAGATACTTGTAAGTTCCTGTCAAAGTTACCTGTAAGTTCCCATAGAAGTTGCGTCCAACTTTTGGTCAAACTTGCCTTAATATTTTAGGTAGTTACATGTAAGTTGCAGAAAAAGTTACCAGTAACTTCCTGTTGAAGTTACATATAAGTTACTGTCAAAGTTACTAGTAAGTTACCTAAAAAGTTACCTGTAAGTTCCCATCAAGGTTACTAGTAAGTTACTGAAAAAGTTAGCTGTTAGTTATCAGAGAAGTTGCGTCCAACTTTTGGTAAACCTGCTTTAACGATTCCTTGAGTTACATGTAAGTTTCAGTAAAAGTTACCAGTAAGTTCCACTTAAGGCTACCCGTATGATGGACTGTTTATTTTATTTTCACTCAGAGGTGTCTGACGATCCGTTCTTCTTTTCAGAACTGATCCAACCCAGAGACCTGACCTGCTCCGATGTGGGATCCAGAAGCTTCCGAGCCTCCTGGGAAATAGACGCCAACAATGTGGAGTTCTTCACGGTTCAGTTTAAGCCGGAAGACGATGTCGACGGACACTACGTGTCCATGACCGTTCCCGGGAACACCCTCACCACAATCCTCCCCCGCCTCACCCCTGTGACCCGATACGAAGTCAGGGTGTCTGCTCAGTATGCCAAGGGGGAGAGTTTACCTCTGATCGGCTACGAGACAACGCTAGAAGGTAGGCATCCATTTTGGTTCCGAAACATCTCACTGATAATGATTGACAGAAAACCACAACAGAGGTCTTTGTTAGGCTTATTAAGGGAACAAACGTCTCTGAACCAACCGGATTTAAAAGTATTCACCCCCCCAGTGGCTGGTTGTTCCTCCCTCAGCAGCAGCAGCCGATACCCGGTCTGGAAGACTTTGGTCCTGATCTGGTTTAATGAGTTGATTTAGTTCCCAATGGAATGTTCTCCAGGCCATGACTCAGCATCTATGAGGCATTGATGTCAGGACTTTGACTAGGCCACTCTCAACATTTATTAGTCTGGATTGAATCATTAAACGGGGGGACTTGCTGTTCAGATCCGGAAATAATTGTGGGACCTTCAGCTTCAGTCCTCCTGAAGCAGCAAAGCAGCCCAGAGCATCACTCCACCACCACCGTGTTATGTCCTGGTTCTGAATTGCTGTTTTACTCCAGATGTGAATGAACTAAGACCTTCTAGAAAGACCCACTCCTTGGTTGACAGAACACGTTTAGGGTCATGAATGTGAGGAAGGGTCAGCAATGGTTCGGGTCAGTTTTTCCTAATGTTGATTTGTGACCTTTGACCTTATCTGAGGCAGTTAGGTCTGCAGGCCTGTTTTAGGACCTCCTGGATGTAATTCTAGAAGGTTCCATGTGTGGCTCACGGTTCTGTCCGAGGTTCTGCCGGGTCCACAGCTTTAGAAATGGTCTCATAACTTTTCCAGACTGATGGATGGAAATGATTTTGTTTTTCTATGGTTATTTTACGGGGCTTTGTTTCCAAGTTTGAAGACGTTTCTCTTCCATCCAGGAAGTTTTTTCAATTGAAAATGTAAGAAAAAGCGTTGAGTTCCAGGTTTTATAGAGCGGACCAAAAAAATAAAGCCTTGTTTTGGCTTAGGGGGGGTTGGGTTGTTTGTTAGCCTGCAATCTTACCTCTGTTTTTGACTGAGGGAAGAAGATTCTTAGGAACGTGCACAATATGCTGCTTACTGAGAGGATAAGACTCAGTTCCAATTGAAGGTCTCTCTCACAAAATAGATCAGACAATGCCCCCCCCTTTCAGAGACATAGACAGGTATGGGGCATTGCAGGCTAACTAAGAAGCCAAACGACCCCCATTCCAAAGGGGGGGACCCGTTCATCCGTTTCTATTTGCATGTTTTCTAAACTAAAACCAGGCTTTGTTGGGCTGCTGGATAAAACCTGGAACTAAATGCTATTTCTGACATTTTGAATAGAAAAATCTTCCTGGATGGAAGAGAAACGTCTTCAAACTTTGAAACAAAGTCCAGAGGATTGATTTTTAAACTTTTCTAGAACGACTCTGACCTGGACAACTGAGAATCTTCACCAGCGTATTTTTCTGTGGTTTTAATGTGTTTCTGGTTCAAATCCTTTGGCTGACTTCATGCTGTCAATCAGATATAGAAAAAACTGCTCAAATGATTAAATTTCAAATAATTTAACCCAGAACCTTTGCCTGAGTTCCCTCTGTGTCCTGGAAACCTCCTGGAACTGACTGGGTTCTGGAGGTTCTTCCCAGAGTAGACGGTTGGGCCAGAGTAGGGGCGGATTTAGGAAATTTGGGGCCCTAGTTAAAGACAGGCAGGGGGCCCTCTGAGCTGAGAAGACAACACATAGAACAGCCCCATTCTCCAGATGTGGAAATGTTAATAGAATAGACATCCATTATCTGTTCTAGGTTGTGTCCCTCTCTTCTTGTCCCTTTTCTTCTTGTTTTCCTCTCTATGTTTTGTACTCAGCTGACTTTTCATGCTGTCTCTAAAGGAATGAAAGATTTTTTCCAAGCACTAAGCTCACTTAGCTGATTGCTCCTTCCTGTGTTTCCAAAAAGGCCAAAGTAAATAACCCAGTCCTTCTTTTCACTGTAGACAAGCCATGATCTGCTTCTCTGTTCTCCATTTTTCATTTGGATGAAATAATAGCTGCATGAATCATGACAGCAGACAAGATAGAGGAGAGCAGGAGGCGGGGTTACCAATCTACTCGCTCTGGAGAGCAGAGTTCGCTGCTTTTAGATGTTGTCTCCAAAGTCTCCAGTAGCAGAAAAAAGTCTCTAGATTAGGCGCTAGGAGCTTTTTAGAAATCAAAGTGCTAGAGGGGTCTGAAAAGTGGCTAAATATAGCGACTAAAGCGCTAAGTTGGCAACACTGCTCTTTGCATGGTTTGTTTTCAAATGGTTTGCTGCTGTCTGTTTGGACCTTTCTGAACATGTGCAGCAAATGGACTGATCCAATATGGTGGACACTGAAGGGGGGGCAGAGACACACTTAATATTATCAGCGTTCTGATGGCATTTTAGCGAAAAACATAATTAATGTGCAGAAATAAGGAATAGTTGTATTAACTAAACATGGAAACAGAGTTTTATGGGGCCCCCAGGAAGTTGAGGCTTCCTAGTATTGCCTAATGGTAAATCCCCCCCCGGCCCAGAATCTCCGTTAACAAAGATCCCATCTCTGGTTCTGATCCTTTACTTTCAGGTCGCAGTAAAAACAAACTGCTCCTTTTAATCTTTGAAGCTGTAAATTCTCCCTGGCTTTAGAGGTCCGACTTCATTCCGACATCATGGAGCGCCGCAGTCCTGAGCCCGGTCGATGGCGTACTCCTGACCCGTGACGTTAGTCCGAGCTGCCACCCATAGAGCTCGCAGTCGGATCCGTCCCTCCTTTTAGGGGAAGGAATGAGAAGCAGACGGAGAACTGGCAGATCGCAGCAGGTCAGGATGTTCTCTGAGGTGATAAACGGTGAATTACAGCCGTTCCCTCTTCTAGGGAGTGACTCAATGCGCTCTGAAGACGTCCACATCCAGGCAGCTGGAGCCTATTCTGACGTCTCGGGGTTCTGTTGGTGCCGCCCGCTCCACCAGGTGATCCATGACAGGAAGCTGCCTCTCTGGGCGGATTTATGTGTTTACCGCCGTTGGTTTCTAACGCAGCCACGATGAAGCGCCGCAGCTCCATCTGAGCTCCAGTTATTTTCCATTACCTGTAGCGTGATGCGCATTAGCGTGCTTGTTCCAGTGGTGGGTCCAGGCGTCTGTCGCTGCGACCAACCTGCAGCAGAGGAAAAAAGCCGTCTATAAACAATCAGGCTGTAATCACCAGCAGTAAGTGTTAACAGCAGCCTGTAAAAACCAGATGACTCATTGATTTATTTAAACATTCTTAGTGGACGAGGAATCATCTTTCTTCCAGTAATCCTCATCCTGCTTGGTGCCCAGTATAATCACCAGCGCTGGTCTACAGGAGCAACTGGGAGTTAGGTTTTCCTGGGACAGGCAGTCAGGCTGCTTCCCATCCACTCTCTCTCCCAGTCAAGGACGCGCCGGATGATTAATGGGAAAACTTTCCGCTCTGATGCAGCGAAAAGCTTTTCTTACTGAGGCATCGTCCACAGGAGCTCCGCTTTCTGCTGCTGATGTAATGAAAGCAGGCAGTCATGAATACCGCTCTGACCAGAGGGGCCAAAACTGGTCTGGGTTTCCAGCTTCCTGACAGTTTTACACATTCATTATTACTGAGGTTTTATCGGCTGTTGCATTTATTCTTATCAAAGAATGAGTGAATTAATCTATGTCTATGTTCCTGTTTGTTTAGTTAGAAAATGTTTGAATTAGTAATTCAAGTAAAAACAAGCTGAAAACTTTCAGGTTTCCAAGCTGCTTCCTGAAATGTTCCTAGGCACGTAGAGAATGGAAGAAAAACTAGAAGAAGATAAGGCCAAATAATCCACAGAAGAAGAAGAAGAGAGAAACTTGGTCTGCCTGACAGCAGTCACTACCCGATCCGTACTGGAAGCACGATCCATACCGGAAGAAAGTTCTGTACCGGAGGCACGATCCTTACCTGAAGCACGATCCGTACCGGAAGCACGATCCTTACCTGAAGCACGATCCTTACCGGAAGCACAATCCTTACCGGAAGCACGATCCGTACCGGAAGCACGATCCTTACCTGAAGCACGATCCTTACCGGAAGCACGATCCTTACCTGAAGCACGATCCTTACCGGAAGCACGATCCTTACCGGAAGCATGATCTGTACCGGAAGCACGATCCTTACCGGAAGCACGATCCGTACCGGAAGCACCATCCATACTGTTCCTGTGGGAACTGTTTGATTTTGCTGTGTCATTGGTTGTTATGGTGACTTGTATTTTCTGCAAACAAAGATTTAAAGCCTTATAGCAGCAGAAATCCTATAGAAAAAATTAGTAATGACAACGTCCAGGTCCACATCCTCCAGAACCTGCTGGGAATGTGGGCGTGTCTCTGCACTCTGGGCTCTGATTGGAGGGGAAATGTAAGTCCTCTAGAAGCAGGAGGCATAGAAATACCTACGGTTGGATGAGGAAACTGTTTAAATCCAAAATGATCAGGTCAGAACCTTCACCATTAGTTTAATGTTCAGGATAAACGTAAAAAATGAAGGCGGAGCTAGTGAGGCCCAAACAGACCTGGGTTTGTTCATTTCTATTCAGTTTATTTCTATTCAGTTTATTTCTATGGCTCCAATTCACATCATGTCATCTCAGTTCACCAGATCATCCAGTCAGATTGATTCAAAGTTTTCTATCTAAGGAAAACCAGCTGATTGCATCGACTCATTGACTCTTCAGCAATCCCTCACACTAAGCATGCTTGTAGCGACAGTGGAGAGGAAAAACTCCCTTTGAACAGGAAGAAACCTCCAGCAGAACCAGGCTCAGTGTGAGCGGCCATCTGCTGAGGCCCACTGGGGTTCAAGGAGACAGAAGCAGACGTAGAAAAAGAAACATAGATACGGGGTTTATCTCCACTGCTCCTGAAATCCCATCGTAAAATCACTGTAATTAATGCGTTAAGTTATTCTCTGACTCCTTGATCCCTGAAAGTGGAGCTTAGAAGCTCGACTAATGTTCCAGGTTTTACGTTTTTTGCTTTGAGGAGACTCTGGCTGACAACCAAAGCTGAAACCAGAGACTAGTCAGACTTTAAAGCCGCTCTCTTCTTTCCCTCTGAGGAAAAACGACAGCAATGATCCCTCTTCAAAGGTCGGAGCTTTGAAGCTGCCAGGCAGGATAACTCCTTCCAGTGTCGACCTTTCCCATTCCTCCCACATTCCTGACGCCGTCCTCTCTCTCTCTCCGGTGCCTCATTGCTGCTTGGCCTCCAGAACCCCCCCTGATCTCTGGCCCTCGCTCATCCAAACCTCACCCACCTGTCATGGTGGTGACTCACAGTCAGGTAGTCGTCTAGAAGGGACCATCTTTGGATTTCTGGGCCCTTTCTGCTGAGCTCTACCTGGAGCCTAAAAAAGGAGATTTGCCAAAGTCTGGCGGTTTCTGCGTTTTCTGTCACGCATCAGTTTCGGCGGACTGTCTCGGAAACTCTGACGTTACCCAGGACCGTCTGACTGAGGGAGCGCTCTAATGTGATGCTGCTGTGG